CTTGAGGATCCTGAAGGCCGAATCCCGAAGGACCAGTGGATCCCGACACACCGTTTCCTTTGAGATGACTAGCGAGGCAAAGCCTGCTCCAAAACGCTAAAGAAGCGCACCAAAGCCCCAAACATATTGCCAGGATTCTGCTTGAGTGGATTGCAAGGCGCATAGCTCCTCCACTCTAGGATCCTTAACCGTGTTTCCACTAACCAGCGAAATGTCAAACTTTTTGCCCAAAGGGGCAAGAGTCCCCAAGTACCCCACCCACCACAAAAAAAACTGTTCTCCGAAGCCTGAGAACGCCCCTCAAACCTTCCGAAGCCTTCCAGGATTGGGGAGGGGGAGGGGGTGACGGGTGGGGGGAGAGGCTAACACGCAGAGCCCTCCCAAGGCCGAGTTCCGCCGGGGCCCCGGGCTGGGAGCTCTGCGCCGCACGCTGGAAGGTGCCAGTGCTCACGGCGAAGTCGCAGGTCATGCAGTACTCGTCCTGGTGCGATAGGTGGGGAATGTGGACATGAACCCGGGCTGTCCCGGCTGTCCCCTTAAAGGAAACCACAAGGGATGTATGAGAGTCACTCCGCCATTCCCTGCTGAGCACCAGCAAGTCGAAAAGGCTATGTGACATTAGATTGCGCAATTCCCGTCGTGGTTAAGTCAACCGAACTTGGAAACATTGCTGCTTTCACCCAGTTGTGAATGAGGGTAGTTTTTCAAGGCACCCTTTTGGGTTGGGATCAAGGGTGTCTCAAACTTAGGAAGCTCCAGGGAGCTTCCTTGTCAATTTAAAAGCATCCAAAAAAAACGGAAAAAAACAGGTTATAAGCTTGTTTGTTACATAGGGTACCCTCCGCCGGAATGGTTCCTTCCAGCGACTGTCTTTGGCCCGGAAACGGGTCGCTGGACAATACGCACTAAAACTCCCGTCAGCATCCATGTGCAGGCGGTTCAGCAACCGTCTCCGTAGGCATGTGCCAACACCCCAAAGCTCCTTCTGATCGCGGTCAGGTCTCGGAGGAGACAAGCTGTAAGGCAAATGCACCTGGCCGGAAGGCACTTTTGGCGTGGCGGAAGCAAACCCCTGAGCCTGAGCGAACAGAACCATCTTCCTTGCACTCTGAATCTGACATCTCCAGACAGCTTGCACTGCCTTCGGGCCAACCAAACACGATCGGCCCAACAGCGTCTTGACCAAAGCAACGCTGTTGGTTTCATGGGATGGGTAAACATTTTGTCCAAACCCCTGCACGAGAGATCCACTGATCAAAGCCTGACTGGAAGCAGCAAACATCGATGAGAGCAAAACACAAGTTAACACGCAAGCGTTTGGTCTTAAAATGCGACCTTGCGACATACCAAAACAACTGACACGGCAAAGCCTTAGTATTCCTCTTGCGGTTGCCTTCCGGGCATGTTGCAACTTGGCAGCTATGTCATGTTGCATCCAGGAGAGCCTCTACTGGAATCTTCAGCCTCCATTCTGAAGCTTTTGCTGTTAGAGTCGGATTCACGATCGGATTGATCCAAAGAACCATGCTAGTCAGGGGTGGTGCCCCTAATTGGTGGGGAACTATTTCATTACTTGTTGGACTTTCTTGATGAATATGGTCCCCGGATGGATCTGAAGCTAGTTAACATGACCAGCAGCCATGCTGAACAGTACTGCCGTCTTCCGAACCATTGACCATGCCGTCCCATCTGACCTCATCCCCAGCCACAGGCTAAGGTGGCAAGAAGATTCAACCTGCTTTGAACAAACAGCATGCCGTAAGTATGCCTACTGCTTGTGCTTGGCTGGTGGCACGTGGAGTTTCAACATTATCAAGCAACAACCCGGCGCCAGACATTGTACACTGGGCAACTCCTCCGACTGTTGCCCCGCAGTAGCTGAAGTAATCCATTGACAAAACTCAAGCAGCTGCCCAAGAAGCATCGACGCGTTCTGTCTGACGCAACTTCCACCCCAGCCCCAAACACAGCAACTTTGGCAAACCACCTTCCAACAGAACCTTCTCCAGCCTACAAGTGCTTTCCCTCTTCGGCAAATCGGTCGCCAGAACTCGCCGCTAGCCCATGGGACCGGTCAGCCAAAACATCGCCCCGCAGCCAGACATTCCCGCGGAGACGGGTCCCACAGGGTCCAACCGTGCACAGCTTCAGCTATGGGAGTGGACTTCTGGATTCTCGGGCCGGTTTTACCTGGCTGCCCTCTTGACTATGCAAACCGCAGCTTGGCCACCGGTGTTGGGCCAGTGGTGGCGAACCAGTGCAACCGATGTTCTGCGCCTGGTGCCCGGACCCATTCTCCGCTTTGGAGACCTGCAGGTCGTCCAGGAGGTCAGTATGCACCTCACCAAGCGCCGCAGGCGAGTCTCACAGCCTGTGGCTTTGGTAACTCTTCTCACCTTCAACGCCCCAAGCCCGAAGCCATGATATGCAGTCAACTCCTGTGTGAAGCCGCACAAAGGTAACGTGGCCTCAAGTGCCGAGCAAAATAGGTCGCTTGCGACCTGCAAGTGTTGAGACTTTCCACCGCAACTAGGCACCACTGCTCGAAGAATCTGACAAGCTGACCAAGGTGCCGTCTCAAATATTTTTGGTATTTTGCGGTTAGCTCGCACGTGGCTCGAATGCCTTCTCTCCCTCTTCCTGTGCCCGCACGGGAGGCTGCATGACTTCCCCCCGGCAACTGGCTAAGACGGCCACAATGTTGATGAAGCACTTCTGCTTCTGGCCGGTCTTAAACTCGATGTTGGTCTTGACCTTATCTCGGAAAGGACGCGCATGAGACGTGCTCTCTCGGAGACAGATTGCTGACCTGCAGGAGGCTAAGGGTGTACGCTGTCATCAAACCAAGAACAGGCTAAGATCAGGCAGCATGAGAGACAGATATACTCCACGTTGGATTTTGCTGGATCATCAATATCTCAATAGTAGAAAGAAAATGAATTATTTAAATTGGTCCATGCCGACTAGCCAATGCTAAGGCTGGGCCGAGCACCCCGGATGTGATGGCAAGAAATGCTGCCCCTTGAGGTTAAACATCTCCCAAGACATTCATACACCACACAATTTCAATGCCAATGTTATTGCCAAACTGCCGCTGCTGTTGCCAACTTATAATCCAATGCGATCTCCGTTCCTAATCCCAAGCATCGTCATTTAAAACGATCAAACATTTGCAAAGCCAAAAGCAATAACATTCCTACATATTACTAGTATAGTTTGATTGAATAACGAGGGGCCAGGGAGGACAGGAGCAGATATGTTGGCGATGTCTAGATTTCAGGGAGGTTCGCACAAACCCTCCAGACAATGGCCTGCCAACAACTTTTGACCTAGGTCGCACTGTTTTGATCGCGCAGAAGACTACTCAAATGCTCCCCATGCCAACCTTGGGAAGGCTTCGAAACAGGCGGCAGGCAAATCCATAGCTCTCTATCTCTGTCCAGTTCAGAAGCGCCAAACAACAAATATGTCAGCAAGCGAGAAGAGAAGACAAGTCTTGCCAGCAACTTGAAACTCCTTCGGCTTCGTTCCTGCCAGCCGTATGCGGGTGGACAGGGTATGGTACGATCCGGGCATTTCTTTGATGCCCGCGGCGACCGCCATCGCGGAGGCCTTGTGGCCCAGTTCCACCTGGGGAATTCTAGGTGGAAGTCTGGTGATGCATTGCCGCTTTTGACATCATCCCTACGACTTTTCTACTTTGGGGGGGCGGGGGGTGTTTTTGTCAAGAACGGCTGTCACAAGCTCACTTCCTGAGTGGCTTGGCCAAACACATGTCCATTTGTTGAACTGTGTTGTTTGTCGCTAAACTGGTCTTCCCAAAAAGTGTCACGTCCGTGGACTCAGGACGCGAGCAAATAGGCTTTCCGGTCAGGCCCTGCTGGAGCGCTCAGCTTGGCGTTTCTGCAAGTCCGCAGAGAGCTTCTTCAACCTGAGCGGGACCCATCCACACTGCGCCCAAAACCTATTCAACCCCTTACAACACGGTCCTCCATGCTCTACCCTAAATAACTTTCTATAAGCTATTGCTTAAAATAGGCCCCACTGCAATCCCTACAAAGTTGGGTAGATGTCTCTACTAAATTGGCCAACTGGGTTGTGGCCTGCTCAACTAGTCGAACATGTGGCCAAGGGTCGTCAAATGCACGCCCGCGTTCATAGACATTGCAAGTAGAGAAGAAGGATGATTCGCATGTCTCGCGCACACGCCGCGGTGCTTTACAAGCGAGGGGACCCAACCCCACCCCCATCCCCTGCCTGGCCCCCTGTTCCATCCAGCTACGGTGAACGATGCACGGAAGGGAAGGTTGCACCGGTTTCTACCTGGTTTGGCAACATTAGAAGTGGGCAGTGCTTGCAAGTCGGGGAACCAGGTCTTGTCCTCAGCTGCCAGCCCAGCTTTTGCAGCCCGTCAAAACAGGAACTGCCAAGCCGCGCTTTCTCTCCAACTGTATGTGTTGCTGGGGGCATAATGCACCTCCTCAAACGATTTGCTTGCAACATTGAGACATGCACTCAACTACTTAAGGCCATCAACTACATAATCACGTTCAGGGATTGCAACCAGCACTGGGGCAGGCTGCAGACCCCGGGGGCTCCATGCTGCCGGGCATGCACTTGACGGCATCATTTGTTTTGCACCAGTAAGGGCGTAAACGAGTAGAATGGGGTTGCGGGGTACGTTAAATTCAAACTAAGCCATGATCATAGAAGCGCAACCTGCGTAATCATCTTGCCACCTCAATCGTCCTCAGCCAACTCATCACCACCAGAGCGAAACGCCGGCATTGCTCCATCCCATGGTTTCGAAAGCCTTCTTACGGTGCTTTGAGCCCACCCGAACCTCAACAGCTCAAATCTTCGTATATTAAGACGACCTTTCCAGAAAGCACTGGGGCTTGGTTGAGTGGGAAGTTCCTTTTAAGTGGTTTCGAGGAGAGCCCCAATTTGGTGTCCAGAGATGTTCAAAGGGTCCCCCATGCCCATCCCCACCGTGCCGGTCATCGCACGCCGGGCCGCTGCTGCAGGTTCGCCAGGCGCAAGGAGATCGGGAACTCTTCCCCCAGCCGAGCGTACTGCTCCTGACACGCACGCCAGCCGAGAACTTTTTGACCCCCCAAGACAAAGGCTGAAGAACGCAGCCTAGGAAAAAAAACAAAAAAAAACAGCCATTCGTTGCTTGAACAAGCCAGGGCTGTACCAAAGAATCTTGCCAAGAATTTGTCACAGAACATCTCACCAAAAGTTCAAGCTTTGCATTTACCTGTACTGTTGTTTTCTTGTCACTAGCTCCCTGTGTCAGGTTCTTCAAACTGGTCTTCCCCACAAAGTGTAAGGTCCATCAACTCAGGGCGTGAGAACAGTCCACCAGTCTCCCGAGTCGGTTTTCGTCGGGTTTCGGGGTCGGTGTCCTCTAGCCGGCCGATGAGCTCCTCCTTCTGGCCGCGCTCCTGGAGCTCCTTGACCTGACAGGTCGCCCGGGCCGAGTCGGGCCGATGGATTCGGTACGTCCGGAAAGGGGTGGCAAGAACTCCATGGGGAGATAACCCACGCAAGCCGTGGTTATAAGGGATAAAACATGATAAAACCCATGGTTATAAGGGATAAAACCAGGCTTACGAACCACTTACAAAGTACCGGATCGCCCCTGTAAATGTACTTGTTCCGCTGACCCAAGATGTGATGTTTAACACGACGCAACGGGAGAGTATGGGGAATCCTGGTGTGGCTCTCACGTGCAGAGTGAATGTCCCGCCCAAGAAAGGTCCCAAGTTTTGCTTGCTGCTTAACATGGTCTTCACAAACGGTTTCAGAGTCCAGGAACCCAGGGCGTGAGCTTGGGCTGGCAGCCTCTTGAGAACAACACACAAAGGACAATCAAGCCACGCATGGGGAGGACAGGGGAAGCACCGCTGGGAGAGGAAGCGACAAGAGAAACCAACCAAGGCCTCCCTCACCGGAAACCCAGAAATTGCAAACTAAACATGCACACCGTTTACGGCTGTATGACTAAATAAACTACTTGAGCGAGCCCGAAGTGCTGCCTGCCCTGGACAAGTCCTGTGGGTATCTGAACAAGAAACGTCAAAATGGCGACCTAAGCAATCGGAAATTCATGCGTCTGGGCAAGGAACGTCGAAATAGCAAGGCCAAACAAATGGCAAATCATGCGCTAGAGCAATGCGTAAGGGCAGCATGCAGCCCGGACTGGTCGGGAATCAACCCCCGGCGACCCGTGCAGCGTCACCCTCTCCCCACAAGAATTAGAATGGCGAACCGCTGCAACCCCAAGATTGCAAAAAAGCAAATCGAGATGTTTGAAAGGCAGGGATGCAAGCAATCACCTTGCCTTAGCGTGAAAAACTGGCCTTTGTCAACCATCTGGGACCCAACGCTCTGTTTGTCCCAACCGCGCGCAAACACCGGATACATCCACAAAGGTCCATCAAGCTGACAGTCACTGACCCCATTTCCTTGCCTTCCTGGGCTTACACATGTCTGGAGCTTGAGTGAGGAACCCTCCAACTCTCCAGCCTGATGGACTAGAAATTACCAAAGCAGCAACATTATACTCAGGGGTATGATCAGCTTCCCTCTGATGGTGTGGTTCGGTGGTTAAGGAGGCTACAAGAAGCAGGGGTTCAAACCCCCAAATCACCTATCCAAACCACCAACTAAGGGTGGCCTGATAGGGACGTCTAAAGAGGTATCTAAGGACCTAATGCGAAAGCCCGGCTAGCGGTGGGTTGGAGCCCGTGGTTGGTGAACACTGGCATGGGGCCTTGCCCGCCCCCTCTAAAACTCGCTGTGTTTTGACAATGCGCGCAGCAAAGGAGCCTGCAATGGGATCCTAGGGGAAGCTCTGTGGCCTCCGGATGAGCCAATGCCTTGGAAAAGCCCCAAGTAACGCTTGCAGAAAAGCCAAAGTCCCTCATCCCCGACATGGAAAAGAGATCGTACAGTGCAAACAGTCTGTTGCAAAATTGAAGAATCTCACCCATCCCTATTGGTTCTCCTTTTGTAAGAGTAATGCAACAACAAAGGCCAAAAACAAACACACACACACACACACACACACACACACACACACACACACACACACACACACACGCCCCGTGCTGCCGGCGGTGCCTTGGAGGAGTCTCCAACACCCCGGGCCAAGTGTTCGTCCTGCCGGGTCCCATCCCGATTAGTTTGCTGTGAGCGAAGCTTCGCTCTCCAAATCGGGCCATAATTCTTTTGGGGTTGAGCCTTGGGCTGAACCTTGCCAGTATTTCTGGCTTTGGTCTTTCTTTGGACACGCTTCACTGGACCTGATTTCCTCATGCCCGACTGGCACAACTGAAAGACCCACCTTTCCAGATGGGCTTCAGCATCGTAGCACTTGCTGTGACATGTCGTATGGCGACGCAACTTCATCCCCTGCGACTTTGGTGTGCATCTGCTTTGGGTAGAAATAGGTTCCAGAACTGAACAAAATGAATCGTGGCTTGCTTTGCGGAGTCGAAATGGCTTGAGCCTCTCGTGATTTCGTCAAGTGAGCCTTTGTGGATTTGCCTCCCTCGCCTTTTGCGGTGAATGCGGGCAGGGCCTTTCAACTGGGACAACTTGCTCTGGCACAACTAGAATCTGGGCCTCTAACAGTGGGTACAAGTAGGAGGGTTTTGGAAGACCATCCTGTTGAAAAAGCCCTCCACTTCCGTAAAGGTCGCACTTAAGCATATGTGTTCTAAGGCTGTCCAAGCATCCATAACATTAACAGCAAGTCCAGGTGGAACAAGAGACAGTGAAGCTATCCTGCATTCATCGTGGCCACTTCAGTTCCCTATGAAGGAGGTTCAAAAAGGGAAATCCTCCCGGCCTACTTGTCATAGAAAAGTAATGGCGCCTGCAACTAGAACTGTCAGCAAAACACCTCTATGCTGTTCAATCCGGACAACCTCAAAGGATCATGATATCTATATAGGGCTCTGTCTTTCTTGGAGGTTTTGTTTTACCCCCTCTGACAGGGCTTTTTTTTTTGTTGTTTTTTTTTTGGGGGGGGGAAACCCAAAACAAGAATCATCTCGGGACTCCGTCGCTTCCCCTTGTGCCTGCCGCTTCTCCGCCTGCTCCGCCGCGAGCTCTCTTCGCCTGTCCCGCTCCTCCTGAGCGACGAGGCCCCTTGGTCACTGAAGCCAAGCTTGGTCAAAAGCAATGTGCTCCTGCGGGAGCTGGTTTTAGGACGCATGCTTGCAGTGGGCGAAGTCGGCGCCAAAGAACTTGCGAAGGCTTGCGAAGGCTAGCTGGGCCCTTTGGATTTCTTGCAGTTCTCAGCGGTGCGCAGACTTGTTGACCTACTTCCTCCCATTGGTGCGTTTTCTTATTCATGGTGCCCCTGTGCCTGTGGGGTTGCAAAGGAAACCCAAAAGCCTTGGTGCGCTTTTGGATGGTGCTTTTGTGCCCCTGTGTCTGTGGGGTTGCTGCAAACCCGAAAGTAAACCCCTCATTTTCCACGGGGGCCTTGAATTCGGGGCGCGCCTGAGTCTGGCCGATGGTCTCGGCCATGTGAGGCCGGGGAGCTGGGCTGCCCACGGCGAACTTGGGCTCCTTGCGAGCCCAAGGCGACACGGAAAGAAACCCTCGCTGTTGTCTTGTGGGTTTTGTGGGGTCGCCTCACTGGTGTTCCTTAACAACCTCACCGTTGTCTTTGAGGTTTTGAAGGGGCATCGTTCTAAGGGAAACCAAGCATTTTTTGAACATGTTTCGCTCATTTATAAGGCAAACCCGTATTGGATGTTTGTCGCTAAGGAAAGCACCTTAATTAGGGTTTTCTTAACCAGGGGTCGGAACCTTGGGGGGCAAGGCCCAAAAATGTCTGGGACTGAATTGCGAGCGCGCTCCTCCTGCATATCCCGGTACTTCTTCCCGCCGAAGAGCCATTTGCAGCACATCGCGAATCGCCAGTCAAGCCATGGGCCAAGCTAGGCGCATTACGGCGACGTGCTATCAGAAACGTGCCAGTTAGGAGACCCCGTGTAGAAGTCATCAAAACAGTGAAGCACTGAGAATAATGACGGGAAACAGCTTCTGTGCAAATACCCATGGCAGCCAACAAGTTCAACTGGGCCCTCCAGCGTGTGTATGTCACATGGGCCCTCCAGGTAGGCCTTTTGCGAGGAGTTCTGTGAAGTAGCCTCATCCGAAGAGAATTAAGCTGGCAAACCTTGCAGCAAATCACCATGACCCTCGGTTTTCCGAGCTTAAGCCGTGTTGCAGCTCGGGCGACAGAAAGACACCTTCTCTGAACGCGGGGATAGGGCATCTTGGCGACCAGGGAAAGGGCTTTCCCGACACAGCAGCAACAACCGCTGCCGCCGTCAACGATTGCCTCCACAATCACTCCTCTAGACCCTCGAGCAACCATGACTTGGCTGCTTGACTTTGAAGGAGCCCCCGCCCAGGCAAAGGTCAAAATCAGAGGCCCTCTTTTTCGGTATGCCCTTAACAGGAAGCAAGCGAGCAGGCAGGGTCCAAGCAGTGGCCTATATTTTCGCCAGCCCATTGGGCACCCACCCCACCCCACCCCACCCCACCCCACCCCACCCCACCCCACCCCACCCCACCCCACCCCACCCCACCCACCCACCCCACCCAAACACCCACCGTTCCGAGCCGCGCAAAGTCCCGGCTGACACCGGAGCAGCGACTGGCCGTCGGGCATCTCCCCCTTTGCCTGCCGTCGCACATAGCCCGCGTGTAGAGGGGCGATCGATTCAGGGTACGTCAGGGAAGTGCTGAGAGTAAGCCACTGGTTTGTTTCTTTGCAAAAAACCAAGTTCACTGACTTTGCGACACTACCTAAATGTTGACTGAGAAGAAGATGCTGCGTTGCTGATTGATGTACAAGTAGCGCGACACCCACCTGTGGCATTAGATGTCTGCTGCCTGCCTTTTTAACGAATCGACACTACTTACCAGCACTGTAGATGGCTTAAGAAACGTAACCACTGAAGAGCCTGGATAAACTCAGACCAAGTTGGTTACGGTCTAGACTATGGATCGGCTCTAGACAATCCAGAATACGGCATTATGACAACAAACATCATAAACACGTTTATCCTAATACATACTAAACTTCTACAAACTCTTCTGGCTCACACAATACTATACATGAAATCATATTATAGATATATACACGCTCCGACACCTCTCTCAATTTTTGACAAATTGAACTGCTCGTTTTTGTGTGCATTCAGTGTGTTTATTCGAGCGTGACATTGGTCTCTTTTTGTTGTGTTTATGGTTTGGTTGGTTTCGCAATCGACGCCACCGTCGTCGAAGGAACCGTACTGCAAATTCAAGCAATGACACTTCAAGCAGTGACGCTTCAACCACTGAAAGTGCACCCCGTGACACTTCAACCAATGACACTGCAACAAATGACACTGCAATCAATGACACGTCAACCAATGACACTGCGGCTCAGCAAGTGAGGATTCTAATTGGCGCTTCACAGGGTGGCTTGAGAACCGCTCAAACTGCTCACTTCAAGGGACCCAGCTGAAAGTGGCGGGCAGATCATGGCCAAAACAATTCCACTGGTGCAATGTTCCCGTTCAAATGGGTGATCAATAATCTTAGTCCGCAATTCGTACTGAAACACAACTATACAAGAAGATAAACCACTACTATGTGCCCTGACACCTTTTGGCCAACGTGGAAGAGGATACTTGACACATGCTGTCATAGTATAACCTGTTGCGAAGGAAATGCCAAGACTCATGGCAACAAGGACAACTCTCATATTATGTCCATGGCAGGTTTCAACACCTTGACCAAAGTGTGTTTTGGGTCAGCTTGAGCTCGTCCATGATGGGAAAGACATCGAACTCAGAAACATCAAACAAATCCGATCGCAAACTCAGTGCTGTGGGTTGGCAAGCCGCCATTTGCAGCCACTTCCAAGCGCACTCGGATTCCAACTTTAAAGCTGATGGGCAATGATCCTTGCCCAACAAGCATGGCATGGCATCGATGCCTGTTGCGTGTGATGGTTTGCATGCCGTTGCGACTTAGAAAGCATGAGGTGAGAGATCGGCATCGCGCCTGGGGAAAGGCTGAGTCCAAATGGAAGCCCGGAGGCTGCAATTCCGGCTGTCAATCGATCTGCCGGAATTGAATCTCTATATCAATATATTTACACATATATACATATATATATATATGTATATACATATGTATATATATATGTATATATATATATGTGTGTGTATACATATATATATATATGTACATGCGGTCTTCCGGACGTTCCAATCCATACAGAAGGATATATCCATTTTTTGGCCAAGGTCTGGGAGCTGGCAGCTGCCCAAAGAAAAAGGCACCAACAGGAATCGAATCCAAGTTGAGCTGGAGAAATACTTGCCTCACTGTCACTCCAAGCGCACCCATCTCAACCACATCTTTGCAAGCCCCAACACCCTCATGGCAAAGGGTGCGCAGGAACGACCGCTCCATTTTGGCCCTGGGAGTGCAAGGTCATTGATTTGTTTTGAGAATCAGCATCGCAAAAACGCTGTCCTTCTTTCAAGGGTAATCTGAGCCGCCATTGACTTCAACATGTTTAAAAACCCATCGTTCAAAGTCTAAAAGTCTCTCTTGGGTTCTCCTTTCGAGGGATGCCAGGGTCTGGTTGTTTCAATAAGCTTTGCCCACCTTCTTAGGGTGACCATTTGGATGGGCTCCCTTTGGCTACATTGGGCGTGTTATTCGATCACAGGTCTGCCTCGATCTGCGCTAGGTAGTCCAGGTACTCCTGCCGGTGCGCGGGGTCCGAGACCTCGCGAGTGTACCTTCCAAGCGCGAGAGCGAGCGCGAGAGCGAGCGCGGGGTCCATTGCCTTCGCTTGCAAATATAGTATCATGTGGATTGGAGAAAATGCATAATTAGCGCGAAACGTGGCTTTTTGAGGGACACCAACGGCCGACCACCTTCTTTGCTCGCCAATCTTGAGACAAGCCCATCGGTTTGATTGATTTGACCGTTGGTGGTTGCAAAAGTTGTCTGCAGCGGCTTGCAAATGCATGCAGAACACGCCATGTGGATGCATGTTTGTCTGGAAGAACCGGAAAAAAAGCCTATCAGGGCACAGATCATGTTCGAACTGGCGACACATATCGCAGCACACCAAACACCTGGCAAAATACATAGTCTCAAATTCGGAATGCTATGAAAAAACAAGGGTTGAATTTGGACAAAGAATTGTCGGCCGAAGCCCAACTTGACTAGAAAGCAGCAACATCAAACGGACAGAACAATGGCCCACCGTGCTTGAGTTGGCCCAGGCGCCAACAGACCAACATGCAACTCCCATTCACCCGAGCATGCGTGTTCTCGGGCTACCTTAGGTTGGGCTACATGCCCCCGCGCTGCCAAATGTGTCCACGTCGGCACTTCAACCATGGTTGTAAGTCCCCCAAGCGGGTTATAACCAGCGAGTTACGAAGTGCCGTGGCCCGGGCTCATCGATGTGGTCTCGGAACTCCTTCTGCTTCATCGCCTGGCGGAAAGGCCCAGACCAGTGCTATGCTGCGAGAGGCTCCAGTGTCACCTTGGACTGGGCAGCTTGCTTCAGCACACATTCCACGCTTCAGAAACTAAACCAGGGTCACGTCCAATCCTTTCCGAGATGAACACAAGTTCACCTTTGGCACCTACATGTGCAAATTATGTGTGGCCCTACGCACGGGCACGCTAAAGAGCTACTGGAAACCCCGGGGGGTCAGCAAGTTCCAGCGCAGTGAGCGAACCTTCGAGCGCTTGGCCAGCCAGCTGTGAGGCTCAAACAAGAAACGCCACAGGCACTCGGCGCGCCTTCCCCAGTGCTATCCCGCCGGTCTCAAATTTGGGAGCACTGGCTTAATAAACTCAGACATAGCCAGCGATGACCCATTGTACATATATATATATATATGTATGTGTATATATATATATATATATATATGTTTTTAAAGGTATATTTATGTATATATAGGTATATGTAGGTATATTTATATGTAGGTATATATTTGTATATAGGTATGTGTATAGATATATTATATGTAGTTATTGTTGACGGGAGTGTCAAGTTGCCTGTGATAGGTCGCAAGATCCCGAAGCCACTGCCCTTTTTGGTGACAAAGACTTGCCTTAGAGCCTTCACATTTCCGTGCCGGAACCCGGGAGCCGACTGCCAGCTGAACCCTTGCCTTCTGCAGTTTGGAGATCTCATCCTGCGCGGCGCTTCGAAGGGATCAAGGTCGGTATGAAACCTTGGAAAAAACCATCTTTTTGGCAAAACAAAGGGAGCACGGAGCTCGCGGGTCTCTGCACTAGGCCGCTTGCTTCACAAAAGGTCTGCGAGGCGAGAAAGTCGCAGGTCGGGACACCCAATGGAAATCCAACCCCTTAGAGGCTTTGATGTTCAAAGCAAAATCCGGTTTTGCTTTCAGTGGAGAAGTCAGGAGTAAAACCCTGGTCTTGACATTGGCAACGCATTGGTGGCTTTTGCTTTCGGTGGCGTGCACCCTGCGCTCTTTGCGAGACATGGTCCCAACCCAAGCCTCATATGGGGCGGCCTCAGCCATCATTTGAGGGGTTTGAGTTGATCTCGTGCGACTCGTGATCTCGGAGCTGGCGCAAATCCACCTTCGTAGAAGCTGCGAAGTGCGAGGCTCGGGGCTCCGAGCGCCCCTTAGGTCGGGTGAGTTGCCCTCTCCTGGGTAATACCCTTCATGTCGCCGCCCTCTCCGGGAGACCGCCGCTCTGGCCGGAAGCCCGCCATCACACCTGCGAGTACGAGGCTGGCTTAGATCCACCCGCCCAGCTAGGGAAGGCCCCCCCTCCTTTCCGATTTCCAGAGTGCCAAGGAAAGAAAAGTTAGGGGTGGGGGTACATTTCGTATCAGTGG